ATTGGAAGTAGGGGCAGGTATCTTTGGAAGGCCTGAAGGAGCTGCCTGGAGTGGAGGCAGGATGCATGAAAAGCCTGCCTAGGGGATTTGGCACTGTGTTAATAAATATCCATAAGCCCAATTCCGTGCTGTTGTATGTTCTGTAGCCAGATGCCCTCCTTATCAACCTATGCACCCTCAGTGCTGTATACCCATCCCCATGCCACATTAAGCATGGGGCCATAAAATGAGGCAGCTTTTAGTGAGTATTTGGTGCAGGAATTGAACCCACTCTGTACCTCTCACTAGCCATCCCGACAACTAATCACACCCAACTCCAACTCAGTGCCATCTGCCTCAGCACCTCTACTGTTGCTAAATTATCAGACTGTTATCCAACATCCAGTACAGGATGAGCAGAAATTTCCTCTATCTAAACATTTGAAGCCATTTTCTTTGGCTTCTATTCCATTCTGTATCGATGAATTCCAACCCTCTCCCTGTTGACTACCCAAGGCCAAACTGGATTATTTGTAGAGCTGGATGAACACAGCAGGCCAAGCAGCATCAGAGGAGCAGGAAAGCTGACGTTTCGGGCCTAGACCTTTCTTCAGAAATGGGGGAGGGGAAGGGGGTTCTGAAATAAATAGGGAGAGAGAGGGAGGCAGGTGGAAGATGGATAGAGGAGAAGATAGGTGGAGAGGAGACAGACAGGTCAAAGAGGTGGGGATGGAGCCAGTAAAGGTGAGTGTAGGTGGGGAGTTAGGGAGGGGACAGGTCAAAGGGGCGGGATGAGGTTAGTAGGTAGGAGATGGGGGTGGGGCTTGAGGTGGGAGGAGGGGATAGGTGGCAGGAAGGACAGGTTAGGAAGGCGGGGACGAGCTGGGCTGGTTTTGGGATACGGTAGGGGGAGGGGAGATTTTGAAGCTTGTGAAGTCCACATTGATACCGTTGGGCTGCAGGGTTCCCAAGCGGAATATGAGTTGCTGTTCCTGCAACCTTCGGGTAGCATCGTTGTGGCACTGCAGGAGGCCCAGGATGGACATGTCGTCTGAGGAGTGGGAGGGGGAGTTGAAATGGTTCGCAACTGGGAGGTGCAGTTGTTTAGTGCGAACCGAGCATAGGTGTTCTGCAAAGCGGTCCCCAAGCCTCCGCTTGGTTTCCCCGATGTAGAGGAGGCCACAACGGGAACAGCGGATGCAGTATAACACATTAGCAGATGTGCAGGTGAACATCTGCTTGATGTGGAAAGTCTTCTTGGGGCCTGGGATGCGGGTGAGGGGGGAGGTGTAGGGGCAGGTGTAGCACTTCCTGCGGTTGCAGGGAAAAGTGCCGTGTGTGGTAGGGCTGGAGGGGAGTGTGGAGCGGACAAGGCAGTCACGGGGAGAGTGGTCCCTCCGGAAAGCAGATAAGGGTGGGGAGGGAAAAATGTCTTTGGTGGTGGGGTCGGATTGCAGATGGCGGAAGTGTTGGAGGACGATGCGTTAGATCCAGAGGTTGGTGGGGTGGTACATGAGGATGAGGGGGATTCTGTTTTGGTTGTTATTGCAGGGAGGGGGTGTGAGGGATGAGTTGCGGGAAATGTGGGAGACACGGTTGAGGGCGTTTTCGACCACTGAGGGGGGGAAGTTGCGGTCCTTGAAAAACGAGGGCAGCTGAGAGCCCCAAGAAGACTTTCCACATCAAGCAGATGTTCACCTGCACATCTGCTAATGTGGTATACTGCATCCCGTTGGGGCCTCCTCTACATCAGGGAAACCAAGCGGAGGCTCGGGGACTGCTTTGCAGAACACCTACGCTCGGTTCGCAATAAACAACTGCACCTCCCAGTCGCGAACCATTTCAACTCCCCCTCCCACTCCTCAGACGACATGTCCATCCTGGGCCTCCTGCAGTGCCACAACGATGCTACCCGAAGGTTGTGGGAACAGCAACTCATATTCCGCTTGGGAGCCCTGCAGCCCAATGGTATCAATGTGGACTTCACAAGCTTCAAAATCTCCCCTCCCCCTACCGCATCCCAAAACCAGTCCAGCTCGTCCCCGCCTCCCTAACCTGTCCTTCCTCCCACCTATCCCCTCCTCCCACCTCAAGCCGCACCTCCATCTCCTACCGACCAACCTCATCCCGCCCCCTTGACCTGTCCGTCCTCCCTGGACTGACCTATCCCCTCCCTAACTCCCCACCTACACTCACCTTTACTGGCTCCATTCCCGCCTCTTTGACCTGTCTGTCTCCTCTCCACCTATCTTCTCCCCTATCCATCTTCTATCCGCCTCCCACTCTCTCCCTATTTATTTCAGAACACCCTTCCCCTCCCCCATTTCTGAAGAAGGGTCTAGACCCGAAACGTCAGCTTTCCTGCTCCTCTGATGCTGCTTGGCCTGCTGTGTTCATCCAGCTCTACACCTTGTTATCTCAGATTCTCCAGCATCTGCAGTTCCTACTATCTCTGGATTATTTGTTACTTTGGTGTCATATTTCATCCAGGCTGAACCTGCAACCACACTTCTGCTCCATCACTAAATTCATTTTTTTTGATTTATTATTGTCACATGTACCAAGGTGCAGTGACTGCTTTACAGCCAGATTGTACTATATAAGTGCTTCAGAGCAACAGAACAGAGTGCAGAATACAATGTTACAGCTGCCAAGAAGGTGCAAAGAGATCAATATTAACATTAAAGAGGTCCATTCAAAATTTCAATAACAGCAGGGAGGAAGCCTTTCTTGAATCTGCTCATACATGTATACAAACATCTATGTTTTCTTCCTGACAGACGAGGATTCAAAAGAGTATAACCAGGGTGGAAGACGTCTTGGATGATGTTGGTTGCTTCCCAGAGACAGCAGGAAGTATAGATGAAGTTAATTGATGGGACGATGGTTTGTGTGATGGCCTTTGCTGTATTCACAGTTCTCTCTAGTTTCTTGGGGTTTTGGGAAGAAGCCGTTGCCATGCCATGCTGTGATGCATTCAGATAGGATACTTCCTATGGTGCATCTATGAAAATTTGTAAGAGCCTTTTTGGACATATTGAATTTCCTTAGCCTCCTGCCGAAGTAGAGGCTTCCAAATCTATGGAATTGCCCAACTCATCTGCAGCTGTAATCCTTCCTCCCTGCCTTTGTACTTCTGAACTTGACAGTTCACTCCTGGCTGGCTTCTCCTGTTCTTCCCTTTGTAAATTATACAGCCTGAGTCCTGAGTCACACTGAGTTAGATTAACCTCTCACCTCTGTGCTCTTTGATCTCAGTGTCTTCCAGTTAATCACTGCGTCCAATTTAAAATTCTCACCCTTATCTTCAAACCCTTCCATGGTCTTGCCCCTCGCTATTTCCTTCAGCAACCCTCCTAAGTATCTGAGCTCCTTTAATTCTGACCTCTTGAGCATTCCTGATTTTAATCACTCCATCAGTGGTGGTTACACCTTCAGTTGCCAGAGCCCATAGGCCTAGAATTCCTCTGTTTCCTTCTTTCTCCCTCTTCCTGTCATTCCTTCTTGATGATTCACCTCAAAATCTACCTTTTTAACCAAGTTTTTGATCAGCAACCCTATCAGTTTAGGTTAGGAACATGATTGGCATGGACTGGTTGAACCAAGGGTCTGTTTCCATCCTCTGTGACTCTATGACTGCTTTTCATGTCTTACTGTCCAATCCGAAGTGGCACCTTCGACATTTTACCACAGGAAAGGGATTTTGGTGTAGCACTCTTTACAGAGAATCGGGAATTTGTGTGGGTTACTTATCTCCTCAACTGATCCGATTGAATGGTTAATGTGGACCACAAAGTCTGAATCAGGAAGTGTCAGCTAGAATATTCAATGTCAAATCATATATAGAAAGCAAAATAAAGACGTAAAGCAAGATAGGGTTACGGGAAAGACATAAAATAAACTGAAAGAAAAATATCTTTTAACAATACCTACACCAATAATTAAAATCCAAAGGAATGGAACTTAATACTCGTTACAGTTAATTTTCAGCCCAGAAGAGGTTAATGTTCATTCTATTTCATACATGCAGACACTAGGCATTAACTGAACACTTACTGTGCACTTACAAAGAGTAATAAGCCATCAGTATGTCCAGGCAAAAGCACTCTAGGGTATCATTTGGTTTGACTGCCTACGTTTCTTCCCTAGTTATTCCATGCCTCAGCGTTGCTGCGTTCATTGTCCACTAGCACCCTGGGAAGCCTTCCATTACCAATGGGCGCTGGAAGAACTGGAGTGCATCATCAACCTTGGGAATATCACATTAATCTGATTAGCTCAATTTATTGTAATGTTTGAGGGTATTTATATTTGGTGACATTATCTTAGTTGTGGGGGCACTTAATTCTCTTTATTCTAGGCCTCCTGCTAACTGAATCAACAGAGGGTATAAATCGGTTGTTGTTTTAGGAGTTGCATGCTTGCCTTGTGTGCCGTCTGTAAATAAATGCTCAAAAACCGTGTAAAGATTGGTTCCAGTTCTATCTTTCAACACCTAGCTTCCTGGAACAAAAGAGTTAAAACGTGCCGTATTGCTCTTACATTATTTACACTGTAATGAATCAGCCGTAGCATTTTCTGGTATGTTTAGTGGGTATCCACAGAGCACTATCTTCACATCATTGCACTTTAGTGCAGAAGTCTTTCAGCAAGGTACTGTAACAGTAAAGCTTCTGGAAAAGCAGGTCAGCTCAGACAGCAACTTCCTAATTTCTGCATTTTCCTGCACACTTGCAGTCATTGCTAGTTGCTGCCTGATTTGCTCTCGAACAACAGAGCGCTGATATCCTCACTATTATTCCTATTGCAAAATACAGCCCATATTTATAACTCAGGGTGCTGACTTTTGTGAATATGTTGAATTTATGGACTGGTAAATACAGGAGCAGAGTGTCAACGAAGTCACAAAATTTCATCAGTGATCTTAAAATTCGGTGTATCAGAGAATTATTTTTACTTTAATTGATGCCCTCTTTACAAATCAAGCAAGCTCTTATTATTTCTTTTTCATTTTCCTGCAGGTCCAAGCAGAATTGAAAATGCGGTGGAGGTGTTGGCTGTTGGTAAATCACTTTGAATGTACTGGCTGCGTCTTTGGCAAGCACTTGACGTACCTGGGGAAATGCCCCAAACCCAGGTCCAACAGTTATATCTACAATAGTAGCTCCTATTATAGTGATACCAGAACGTCCAGCATGCAACTGAATACAGCACCAATGACAGAACTGCAGGCACGCAAAGCCATCCCAATGGAACAGTTCACCCAGACTCGCATGTCTGAGAGCAGCGAAGGAGAAGCAGATATTGGAGAAAGCCAGATGTAAGGGCAGGTCTGGACAAGCCAAGTCCAACATTAAGTTTTGTAAGCTGTGAAGTCTTTTAATGTAAGAAGTGAGTTAGAGTCAACGGCAACACAATCTGAACCTACTTTGTGCTTGACCTCTTTTTGTTGTAAATATTGAATTTTGCAAGTGACCAGGTTTAGTTGGAAGGCATTTTAAAACCTTGCTCTTCCAGTGTACTGTCTTCGTAGAATTGGGCCTTAGAGAGGAGAAATCTATCATTGAATTTTGGCCAACACAGTCAGCTGATGTCAGAAGAGGTGCTACAGTTGTGTGTGTTTGTGTGAGTGGGTGAGTGAGTGAGTGTGTCTATGTGTGTTTGTGTGTGTGTGTGTGTGCCTGTTTGTTTGATTTGATTTATTATTGTCACTAGGTACAGTGAAAAGTTTTGTTTTGTGTGCAGTACAGGCAGATCATACCATACAAAGTGCATTAAGGTATCAGAACAGAGCGAGGAATACGATCTTATGACTGCAGACAAGGTACACAAAAAGCAAGGCCAATAGTAAATTTGAAATTTAAGAAGTTCATTAAGAAGTCTAATAACAGTGGGGAAGGAGCTATTCTTGAATCTGTTGGTACAAATGTTTAATCTCTTGCATCTTCTGTCCAGCAGAAGAGGTTGGAAGAGATTATAACCAGGTGGGAGGGGTCTTTGCTTTTCTGAGGCAGCAGGAAGTATAGATGGAGTCAGGAGATAGAAAGTTGGATTGTGTGATAGATTGGTCTGTGTTCACAACTCTCTGTAATAGTGTCTCTTTGAGTGAGTGAGTGACTGAGTGGCTATGTGTCTGTGTGTAAGTCTGTATCTGTGTCTGGGAGTTAGTCTGTGAGTTTATGTCTGTCTCTGTGTGAGTAAGATTCTGAGTGCAGGGTCAGTCACAATGACTCCGACCTGACACTCATTTTTCAGGCTCAGATTGATTCGAGAACTGATCAGTGCTTTAAGGAACGATGTCACAGAAAAAAAGAAAACCCCATTGCAAATGTGGTGTGATCTTATCTGCTTACTTTGGGAACAACTTTAAGTTTACTTTTGTAATATATACCCACATCTGAACATGTGTCTCCTACTATTGTGTTAAACCCAATAAGCCAAGTGACCTCCTTCCTGCTTCAATATCTAAACAGTTACAGACTTATCTTTCAGTAGTAAGCACTATAAGGTTTCATAATGTGACCCAGCATGTACATACTGTGCACTAAGGTAAACATTTCCTTCACCCCCACTTTTGGGGCATTATCTAAAATATAAACTAATAAGTGACTAAATTTATGTATTTAATGTTATTGTTGCGAGCTTTTTTTTTAAAGAAACTTGTAGTCATTGAAATGTGCCCAGACAATAAACTTTATTAAACTATACAATGATAGTCTTTTGCAGAACCGCTAGCTATCAGCTTTTGTTTGGCTTGAATCTTCTGGTCTGATTCGGAATCATGTTTCCGACTTGAATTATGCAAATGCAGGAGTTTTCCGGCCGGATCTCCAATGCAATAGCCTTCATCAGTAAAACAGTTGAGAGAAGGAGCAGGAGCAACAGGGTAGGTCAGCACAGAGACCACCCTCCCAATTTATGGTCATAGCTGCAGCATTCCATGCTTTAAGTTCCTACAGCCACTTTGAACACTACTGAGGGAAGGGGGAGTAGTGGGTGGGAGGGTTAGGGTACCAGTAGGTTGGGGAGAAGAATGGTAGGGAAGTGGGTGAGAAGGGGTCAGATGTTGCAGGAGGAGGATGAGGTGTGAAGATGTCTGGGAGAGGGTTGTTGGATTGAGTGTTTGGGAGTGAGAGAAGTAAGCTGGTGGTCAATGAGTTTTCCATGAGTGGGGGAGCTCTATACGGAAGGTCCGTCATGTGCTTGTCACTGTCCTGTGGGCATGGAATTTAGGAATCCAAGGGGGAGGGGATAAGGGAGCAGTGTCCACACTGGTGGGAAGTGTCTGTTGGAGGAGAGGAGAGGGAAGGGGGCTCAGTGCGAAAGATTGGGTTGTCAGTGTTATAGTTAGTCAGGAGTTACAGTCAGCTTTAATTCCTATACATTTCCCTGGCTAGAAGGCAAGTTGGAACCTTTCAAAGTCTCAGACTTACCAGGTATTCATTACATCCCCGCTTGTAATTATCAGGGAACTCTGTTCTCCAGCTATCTGTAAACATGAAAATCTGGGCCTAGGATTCCTAAATAGATCTAAGATTCTTGTTGCTGAGTGCCCATGTGACAGATGTCAAACAAAAGTGGTCTTCACCATTGTAATGGCAACGATGGCAGAAATGAACATGACAGTATATAAAACTGTACTGCCCTGCTTTTGGCCCCGGTTTAAAAAATGAGTGAAAAATCCATCACTGGGTTTAGAAAGACAAAAATAACTTACATTTATGTACAACATCCTTAAGACATGCTGCACTGCTATAGGAACGTAGGTACGTTAGTATGCCACTCAGTCCTTTGAATCTGTTCCACAATTCACACCTGAGAAGCACCACAAATCCATTTGTCCTTAGCACTGTATCCATGGTATCTGCAGCCAACAATAATCTATTGAGCTCAGTCTTGAAAAGTTTAATTGACACGATATGCACAAGCTTTTGAAGGAGAGAGTTCCAGATATCTTACTACCATATTTGTGAAGTGCTTCCATGATTTCAAAACCAGAAGACATATCTTTAATTTTAAGCTTGTGTCCCTCTGATCTGGATTATATTGTCAAAGGAAAAGGTTTCTCTGAACCTCCCCTGTTGAATCTCTTTTTTTATTTGAAATGCTTCGACCATATGACCCTCGAACCAATTTTACTCAAGGGGATACAGGACTAATCTAAGAAACATGTCCATATAATTTAACCCTGACATTCTGGGTGAATCTGTGTCACATCACTATAAAGCCCATTATATTCTTCCTGTAGTACAGTTGCCAGAACTGAACACAAAACTGTAAATAGGCTATGACCAAGGCTCTAACCTACTGTTGCAAAACATCCCCCTCCTTCTGTTCTCTGAATTTGTAACTGATGAGTGTTTTTTTATCATTCCCGTTTCTATGTAGAAAGCCTTAGCTGCTAATCTGCACTGGTCAGTCAGACACATGGGAAATCAAAGTATGAATAACTGAGTAATTAGTTTTTGCTGATGTTGCTTAAAGAAGAAATATTAGCCAGAATTGGGAGAATTCCCTGTTCTATTCATTGATACCACAGGACCTTATTTAATGTGGGGGGCCATAGTCCACAAAGGATCTCTCCGAGAGAGAGAATTGGTTCTGTATAGCCTGAGGGTAACTGTACCATAAGCACAAGATAAGGTGAGAAGGTAAGGTAAAGGGATGCTGGGTTTATTCTCACTTAGCCAACTGAGCTACCCTGCCCTTTTTAGTATTTTATACAAACAGCTATGCAAACACTCAGAGTCTGAGTTTAAGATCTGTTTCACCACTGAGGGTAGACTTTGTATTTATCTACCAGGGGCCTAAGCCTGTTTCTGCTCCTCATTGCATGTCTGCTTTGCCCTGAATCAACTACATAACACCAGCAACCGGCTGTACTCAGGATAACCAGGCCAAACAGTCAATCCTTAAACAAACCTTAAAAGCAACCAGCAAGGTAATACATATAAATGTATTTACCCTATTGCGGAATTGGGAGAAGCAGTTTGCGTATCCCATCCCCACATTTAGGTTTCTCTCAGCTCCCACCCACCACTGCTGGCTATCGCTCTCTCACACCCACCCACCAGATACTGATCACTTCCTTTGGTCCATACCATCACCAGTGACCATCACCCCCCCATGTAGTTAAGGAAGTGACCCTAGAAATAAAGGATGCATCCATTGGTGGTCAACTTTCAAGATTCAAGTTTCTTCAAGAAAGTGTTCCTTGCAATTGGAGTATAGCTAATGTAACCCAACTACTTAAAACTGGAATAGAAAGAAAACAGGAAATAAACCAGTTGACTGACATCAGAAGTGAGGAACATGCTAAGTTCATTAGAAAAGATTTAATAGCTGAGCAGTTCTGAATTTGTAACTGAATTTGTAACTGGTGAGTGTTCTTTTATCATTCCCATTTCTATATAGAAAGCCTCAGCGGCTAATCTGCACTGGTCAGTCAGGCATATGAGTGGCATGGTGGCTCAGTGGTTAGCACTGCTGCCTCACAGCGCCAGGGACCCAGGTTCAATCCCACCCTTGGGCGACTGTCTGTGTGGAGTTTGCACATTCTCCCCGTGTCTGCATGGGTTTCCTCCAGGTGCTCCAGTTTCCTCCCATAGTCCAATGATGTGCAGGTTAGGTGGATTGGCTAAGCTAAATTACCCGTAGTGTTCAGGGGTCTGTAGATTAGGTGGGTTATAGGCGGATGGGTCTGGGTGGAATGCTCCAACGGTCAGTGTGGACTTGTTGGGCCAAAGGGCCTGTTTCCACACTGTAGGGATTCTAGGATTCAGCTGGAAAATACTGACAGAATTGGACAGAGTCAACATGGATTTCCAAAAGGGAGATCATGCTTGAAATTTTTCCAGGATGTAACTAGTGGTATTGATAAGGGTGAACCAGTAGATGTGGTTTATTGGACTTTCAGAAGGCAAACAATGAGATCTCACATAACAGATTAGCATGTAAAATTAAAGTGCATGAGACTGGGGATAGTGTACTGATGTGAATAGAGAGCTGGCTGGCAAACAAGAAACAAAGATTAGGAATAAATCGATCATTTTCTGAATGGCAGCTAATGATCAATGGAGTACCACAGAGATCACTGTTTGGACCTCATCTCCTCAATCAAATATATATTAATGATTTAAATGATGAAATTAAATGTAATTTCTTCAAGTTTGCAGATGACACAAAGCTGGATGGGAGAGTAAGCTGTGAGGAGGATGCAGAGATGCTTCAGTGAGACTCAGACTGTTAAGTGAGTGGGCACATTCATGGCAGATGAAGTATAATGTGCATCGTTATCAGATTGGCCACTTTGGCAGTACATACAGGAAGGCAGATCTGAATGGTGATGGATTGGGAAAGGGGGCACTACAATGAGATCTGGGTGCCCTTGTACACTCGTCACTGAAAGTAAGCAGGCAACTGCAGCAGGCAGTGAAGAAGGCAAATGGTATGTTGGCTTTCATCGCAAAAGGATTTGAGTACACGGACAGGAATGTCTTGCAACAATTGTACAGGGCATTGGTGAGATCACAGTGGAGTACTGTCTGCAGTTTTAAGTCTCCTTACCTGAAGAAGGACATTTTGGCTATAGGGGGAGTGCAACAAAAGTTTACCAGACCGATCCCTGAGATGGCAGGACTAACATATGAAGAGATGCTCAATCAGTTGGAATTGTATTCACTGGAGATTAGAAGAATGAGGAGAGATCTCACAGAAACCTGTATAAATCTAACAGGACTGGACAGGGTAAATGCATAAAGGATTTTCTTGATGACTTAGGGAATCCAAAACTATGGGTTGCAGACTAAGGGCACACGAAGGCCATTTAAGAGTGAGATGAGGAGAAATTTCTTCACCATGAGCCTCTGAAATTTACTGACACAGAAAGCAGTTGAGGCCAAAACACAATATTTTCAACGAGGAATTAGATGTTGTATTTAGGGCTGAGGGGAACAAAGGGTTTGAGGAGAAAATGGGAAAAGGATATTGAGTTTGATGTTTGGTCATGATAATATTGAATGGCAGAACAGGGTTGAATGGCTTATTTCTTTTCCTATTTTCTATCTCCATCAGTGACTCAGTGCTCTGTCCCTAGCCTCTCTCACTTAGCCAATGACTTATACTTGGGTCTTGTTGGCCCAGTCTTCAATGGCTGCCTCAGCAAGCTGCCTCAGTCTCTGGCACTCAACTTGCTTTTGGGAATTAGGGCTAAGGTTCCCCGTCAAGAAGGACTAAGGCCTAACCAGGCACAGAACTGCCAGACATGGGTGCACATACATTTCAAAGCCTTGTAACTGACATTGACTTTAAAACAGAGCAGTAACAGTTCTCTGCTGGAAATGACAAGGACAGAATTAATTGAACTGGAGTTAATCAAGAATGAAGCAACAAAACTCATTGGAAATACTGGACAAATCTTGCACGAACTGACTTTTTGTTGCTATAGGTGATAGAGTCTGTGCTGTTTGGCCCAGTCTATCAGACTGAGTACTCACTCCACCTACAACCACTGAGTTACAAGCACGCTGAATTATATTGCTCGTACACATTTAAATGGCAGAGGATCTTGACCAGATATGTAGTAAATTGTTTAAGATCCCCATGGTACTGCTGACCAAGAAATTAATTCAAATTTAACTTTTGATACAACCACAATCATGTGATATGCACAATTCCTCAAAGTTGAATTGTAATTTGCTTTTCA